TGATGGCTCTAGTGACTAAATTTGTTGACAAAGAATTGGAAACCCATCTTGGATGGTGAACTCATTACTTACCAATTATATCATACCCATTATCAACAAGAAAATATCAACTAAAAATGATGACTTTAAAGTTAACAAAACATGTTCTTGTGACCATTTTAAAGATATCCTAATTTATGTCATTTAGTGAATTCTGCAAAGGTACTGATTTTAGTTAACAAACTTTTTGGTGGTTATAATCTCTTCAGTGGACTGTCTCCCCTACTTCCTTCCTCTATTATGCTGTCATCAATCTAACGGTTATACAATATAGCTCTCAGTGATCTTTAGATTTAAAAATTTCCAGTAAAGATTCAAAATTTACTATTAAAATCTAGGATTAAAAAACAAACAACAAACATACAAACAAAACCCTCAGGATAGTTAAACAAACCAAACCAGAACAAATCAAAACAAAAACTCTTTTGTAAAAGGCATAATTGGGACAAATAATGATATGTTCTTTAAGGTTAGGTTTTATTTAGTCTAGATTTGGTTATCCACAATCTAGACCATATTTTAAAAGATTTTATGCTGGACCCAAATTAGTCCTCAAATAAAGCAGTTAGCATTGAATGACTATTGAGTAGCCATACAGAAAAATGGTGAGATAGTCTATTCTACAAAAGTAAATGATAATTTAACTTTTCATCATTTTCTGTAAATAGATGACAACATATTAAGATAAGTAACTGTCCTTTCTTCTCTTAATGAAAACACTCCTCAAGGCAACGCTGTGTTATACTAGCAGAGCACACTTTCAAAGTACCAAGGAAAACTTAAAAATTAAATAAACTAATACTTACACTTGCTCTTCTTTTGATTCCTTATTCTGAAAAACAGCATCAAGAATTAGTCATCTATATCAACTATGTGAGTACAGCACAGTGATCTGACTGCATTTAGGTCAGTGCTTCTCAAACTTTTTTGACCAAAAGCGTAATAAGAAATACATTTTATATCACGATACAAATGCACTTACATATATATCTTTATACATAAGTATAAAAGTGAAATATAAGTTTCTTGAAATACACCTTACCCATATTACATGTGTTATGGACTGTATGTTTGTGACCTGCCACCCCACCTCCCCCTCCAAATTCGTGCATTAAAACCCTAATCCTCAATGTGATAGTAATTGGAGATAGGGCCACTGGGATGTAATTAGGTTTAGATGATTTGTGGAGTCCTCATGATGGAATTAGCACCCTTATACAAAGAGACCAGAAAGCTAGCTCTCTCTTTCTCTCTCCGCCATGTGATGATAGAGCAAGAAGATAGCCGTCTGTAAACTAAGAAGAGGGCCCTCACCAGACACCGAATCTGCTGGCACCTTGATCTTGGACTTCCCAGCCTCCAGAGCTGTGAAAAATAAATGTTTGTTGTTTAAGCCACCCAGTCTATTATAGTTTGTTGTAGCAGTCCAAACTGACTATGACAGTGGGTGATGAACTCTGGAAATTTGTTTAATTCCTACTAATTCTATTGCTTTTTTAAAATGGTAGTTGGGACCCATTACACTGATTTTATAATCTACTACTGAGTAATGAAGCATGACTTTTGAAAATCACTGATTTAGATACTGGAAGTGAGTACTGAGGTTGAGTTTGTTGTACCTATTAGTATATCCTGGGACAGGATACATGAAATTCTCATTTATGGAATCCTATACTAAGTACAAGAATTCTTGAAAATCTATGTGTAAGGAGAAAGCAGATTTATATAGCAACACTCTTATAAAAAAGAAATGTTAGGGAAATCATAATTGATAGAAAATGTTAAAAAGCATTAAATTTTATGTTCATTAAAATAAAACTATAAAGGCCATATCAATATAAATAAAAGTAATATAAATGACACAACACATATTAAATTAAAAATATTAATTACTCATATGTTACCTTTCCATTAAGAGCATTAATTACTCTTACATAAGTTACAGTATTCCTATTACTACCTCTTGTTTATAAAAAACTTCAGGGTCTCCTTCCCCACAGATTCCATTATGTAATTACAAATCTGTTCTGCTTTACTGTCTGCATACTAAGAGGATTTTTGCATCTCAGTGTCTGATCAATGTTCAGGGCCAGTTTGAGCCTATGATTTAGAATTTTGAACCTCCACCTTGGTTCCAGTGTATTTGAATAACTGAGTTGAAAAGTCTNCTGCTCTATCATGTCCAGAATATGCAACTCATCCAGGCTGTAGAACTTGTCTTCAGTTGCAGAATCTTCTTGAACATCACTTGCATCATCTTTCATAAACTTGCTGACTGGGTGTAGATTTGCTTGCTTTTTCTTCAACTGCTCTTCCTTTTCTACCATACTTGGGCTATAGTGGTGACATAATCAATGTGATCTTTTATAATTATATAAAGGTTTTCATCTAAGCCGTTGTTTCCCAAATTAATATTGTACTGGTCTCATGAGATGCTCAGCATCAGAAGAGTTCATGGTCAAAGAACATTCAGACAGTGCTCACACTGTGTATTTCTCTTGCAGATTCACAATTTTAGCATATTTGAGATAGCATTCAATCGAAGTAAGTATTCTGTTCATCCCAGTGTTTTCAAGAATTATGAGAACATGAAGTTTTTCAAATTGTAACTATTAATATCAATTACTTTGGGAAATATTGACAAGCATTTCCACAGCTGCTATATTACCTTATCACAACATTCCTGATAGGTAGGTTGATTTAATAAACTTCAGTGCTTAGGTTTAATGTACATTTAAATAGAGGGCTGCAAATAGCAACACAGTAGATTCATAAGTGGAGGTTTCTTTTGTAACAGGACTTTTAAAAAACTGTATCAATAACATGAATTTCAGTAGCTAGGAACTACTGCAAAAAGAATGAAAATACTACACGTACAATGGCAATTAACCCATTTTTATACCTATGTATAAAATATAAATGCATGTCACTATCTTTTCAGTTGGTCTACTATTTAGTATCTATAAATTTCCTTCCTAATCTCATTGAACGGTAACAAAAAATAATACTTTTACTTATAGCATGATATAAATGACTTGGTTTTATTAGTGAATAGAAATAAAAAAGGTAACTCTAGGGTGCATTATTACTTCTTTTATGTCAGTAAGACCTAGAAAAATTGATAGCCAATGCTTGCAGAATAACTTGTAAAACACTATAAAACAGTCATTAAGTATCATTGAGGTATTCTAGAATGACTCAAACATTTTGGAAAGTTCAATAAAATCAACTGCTTGTATATAACAGTGGTTCCCAAACAAAATTAATTTTCGAAATTAACTGAAGATCTTTTCAAAAATTACATTTTCCCAA